AATATTTTATTCCAATTGATGCACTGCTATTTATATTAATGTTAATAACAACTAACTTTAATTTGATCTTTTAATGGAATTTGCTTTAATTTTTCAGGAGGATTCAGTGAACCCACTTATTCAGGAATCCATTTCCGAGTCCTTTGGAAATATAAAGCAGAATGCCTCATGTACAGATTCTTTATCCTGGGTAATTATCTAGTACATCATCCATTGGTTATACCAAACAAACCAATACTAAAAATATTGCAGAGCCTCCATCAATGAATTTCTTTTAATTGTAATATTGGAAACATTCATATTAATACATAAACTAAGATTGTAATATAGAATGCAAAATGCAAACTTAGAATCATAACTTTTTAAAGTGAGAAAATACATTGGAGGTAATCTAGTCCAAACTCCTGCTCAGTGCAAGATCCATTGGAGTCAGGGTTGGCAAACCTACAGCCCATTGGCCAGATATGACTTGCCACCCAGATCGTCCAGCCGATAGTTTCAGAAAGGAATATATTCACTTGATTTGTGTGTGCGTGTGTGTGAGAAAGGGAAAGAGAGCGTGAGAAAGGGAGAGAGAGCACATCCATCACTTCTTTGGCTGGCCATTTTGGCAAAAAACTTCACAAGCCATCTTGACACAGGCTGAGCAACAAACCTTCCCACCAGCTCTGAGGTGAAGGTAGAGCTATGAGATAGAGCTGGAAGATGACTTTTTAGCCTCTGGTGAAGACTTATAGCAAAAAAAATAATAATCAACACTTAACATGGCGCATAACATAATCCTCTTGATAGCTAGTAATTCTCTTTTTTTGTAGGTTTAATCCATTGGTTCTGTAATTATTTTCAGGACAATAGAAAGTAGATTAATTTGTTCTTTTGCATTAGAATCTTTATTTAAATACTCAATATGTCATATTTTGAAAGTTGGAATAAATGAAAAGTGTTTCCTATATTACATATGCATTTTGTATGGGCAAAAGATTGGGCTAGTGGATCTTTAAAATAGTTTTCCAGGGTCATGGAGGGTATGGTGTTAAATTATTGAAAAAGTTGCTTGGATTGTATAATTAAAGCATTGGCAGTGGCATTAATAGATTATTGCAAAATGCATTGAATTATTATGTAATATAATAAATATTTTTATCTTGAGCTGGATAATTGATAGAATTATTTATTGTTGCTTATAAATATTAAAAGGCGAAAAAACAAAACAAAGAATAAAAACTGTTTAGAAAAATACATAACTTTCTCCTTTACACTCCAACCAATTTGCAGTACTTATAAACATTTCAACCTTCTTAAAAACATACTGTTTGTATCTGCCTTGCTATGCGAGAAGTACTCTTAAGTTTTTAACTGTAATTATAGTCTATTTTGTCAGTCTTTTGTATTAGGCAGATTAGCAGAACGATTATAACTGGTTCCTCTTTTTCCAAAGATACAATGTAATAAGGAAGAGCAAGTCCTTAATCCTAAACAGGATGTCCAGAATCATCAGAGTGCTAACGAATTGGCTTCATGGAATCAGAATTCAGCTAATGATGGGGAAGATCTGTTTACTGATTCCCAGTCACAGGTAATTCATGTCATCCAAAACAGACTTAGGCAAACTTAATGATATGTTGAATATATTTGATTTGATTTTACAACTAGGTTTCTAGTACCTTTCTTAGTTTATGTGATCATTTAATATCAAATAACATGTAAGTTCTTATCCCAAGAAGCTATACTTTTGGCTTCCTTTTGCTTTCTAAGCTGCTTGCCGGGGGTGGGGGTGGGGGGGGAGGGGGGATTATTTTGGAAATGTCAGGATTCCAGCAAATTCCCTAATTAAATCATAAGCCTTGAGCCAAGCTTCAAAAAACTTCAAAAGATTTATTTAGAAGCGACATGCTGGCGTGACCTTTATGAAGCCGACTCTTACAATCAACTCTGACCCTGTCTTCCCCCACCCTACTGGGTGCATCATAATTCAGATTCGTTCAAGGGGCTGGGTGTCATCAATCACATTCTCCTATAAAGGATTTTTGCCGGGCAGAATACCCAGTTGCCTAAGTTACAATCTTTGTGAGATAACCTTGGAATGTGCTCCTGATTTTATTTGCTGTATGCTCCCCCTCTTTCTCGTGGCAACTTGGAAATAGGCATAGGTATGTTTTACAAGTTGATAGGAAAGCACTTACATATGAAAAAGACTATATATATAGTATTCAGCTTTGTTCGGGTATTTTCCCACGTCATTGTAGTTGTGCTTTTAAAGTTGTAGCAACGTTTCGGCAGAATCTCATCTGCCATCATCAGGCTTCTGTATTGTGTTCATCTGACGAACACAATACAGAAGCCTGATGATGGCAGATGAGATTCTGTTGAAACGTTGCTACAACTTTAAAAGCACAACTACAATGACGTGGGAACATACTCGAACAAAGCTGAATACCATACATGTAAGTACCCGCGAAAACTTAAGAAAACATACACACACACACACACACACACACACACGAAACATAAAACCATCCAGCAGGTTAAAAAGTGGAATACAATAGTGTAAAGATGTCGCTATTTGGGAAGATTGTATTTGATATGTATCTTGTCTGAGTAATGATTACCGAGTTAATGAAAGAATAAATTAATGATTTTTTTCCCTAGCTGTTAAGTCAGCCTTCAAAGAGGAAATTACCAGAGTGGTTTGGAACATCAAAAGAAATAATTTCTCATGTTAAAGTATCTAAAAAGTCCAGAGGAGGGAGTAAAGGACTCTTCAATTGAAACTGGAAATGGCACAACAATGTATTTTACACATAACAACTTCATGAAGATGAGATTCCTCTACTTTGTTCTGCCTCACTCAAGTGAGTTTTCCATTAACATCTCTTCCAGAAAAATTAATGGGACTTATCAAACTCTGGAAGTGAGCCCAGGGAAAGAAAGAAGAAAAAGAGTAATAGTTTAAATCAGAGTGCACATTGTATGGAATATTCTTCACAATTTATGTATTATATATTTATGTGAATTGTTCCTTCGCAGATTTAATCACCTATTAAAGAGGATATCTGAACCTGTATTCAGAAGCAGCTGACTTCTCAAATACTATGTTGACATTTAAAAGAACTATGTTTTCATGAAATGGGCATGCCCATATTTTTTATTTGTAATACATTATTTTTAAGGAAGACATTCCAATGAAAAATAATATTAAAAAGCACAATACCATGTGCAATGCTACTTAATTTTTTAAAAGTGTTAACTTTTTTTTTTTTTTGCAATTACTTTTGGCACTTTCCTACAAAAAATAAAACTTGTTTATCATTAAAAGTTGTGATTCAATTCATTGTTTCTGTTCAAAAGAGAAGATTAGCTCTTGATAACCAGATGGATATGTCGGGTTTTTTTTGGACAAAATAGGTAAGTAATTTGCCATTGTTGCCTTCTGTGATTATTATTTTGATATAATCTATTATAGTACCCTGGGATTTCCTGGTGGTCTCTCATCCAAGAGAGATGAGAGCAATCCAGTTTGATTGCTTAGCTTTTTTGAGGCTAGTATTTTTGTTGCCATTTGCTTGGGTGAAATAGATGTTTTACATTCCTAGCCTTAAATGATAGACTCCTTAAAAATTCAAGCTTGACAATTCATCTTTATCCTTCTCCCACTCCCTTGTTAAAATTTATCCTGTCTGTTCTGTATATGGCTCATGGATAAACTATTACAATTATTTATAGTTAATTTTTCTGTCTGAAAATAATTTTATAGAAGCTGGTTTACAACAACCTAGAACATTTAGGAATTCTTAGTATCTGACTAGCCATAATACCTATGAGAAAAATGAGTTATAGTAAAGCGGGGTGCAGTCAAGATACATACATGGGGTGTCTTGTACGGAAACTTCTCTACAAAGTTATCCCATTGAATATTGTGATAGACTTTCGAAATGAATGGATGCTACCAAATAGCCATCAAGCCCTTGTCAGTCCATGATTGCTTTACTAAATTTGATTACAAAGAAGCTTTCGAATGATGTAACTTAGGTTCAGAGAAGTTTTATTTCAGCACTTAGATTTATAAACCGCTTCACAATGCTTTACAGCCCTTTCTCGGTGGTTTCCAGTGTCAGCATATTGCCCCCAACAATCTGGGTCCTCATTTTATTGACCTGGGAAGGATGGAAGGCTGAGTCAACCTTGAGCTGATGGGATGAGCAGGTGGAAGCTGGCAGTCAGAAGTAGCCTGCAGTACTGCATTCTAACCACTCATATGGCTGGGTTTTTTTTTTTTTTAAACATGCAAAGATTTCTTGGAAACCTCAGTCAGTCAGTTCTAATCACTTTTTCCAAAATGTACATAACTTTGGAGAAGGATAGATGAAAGCCTCTCTGTGCATTTATAGCATATAGCGGTATGGTGTAGTCATGGAAGTGAATGGGATCAGCGGGAAGCAGACTAGAACAGGGGTAAGGAAACTTGCCTCTTTTATCACTTATGGACTTCAACTCCCAGAATTCCTGAGTAAAGGGCTCCCCATCCCTGGCCTACTGGTTTTTCAGTTGTGGGGGAAATCAATTTTTGACTTGAATGGGACTGTTTAATATACAAATGTAGGATATGTCTAAATATCTAGAATATATCTAGACTAGAATATAAATAGCCATAGCCAAGCCAAATACTGTATTTTGCACAGTAGCATTTTAGTAGCTTTACCCCAAATTGTTTGCACTCTGAGGATTCTTCCTATGGAATTTGCTTCCTTCTGAGATCTAAGAGCACTCGATCATCACTCTTACTGATTACTTCTGTACTCCTTTCGGCAGGCTATATAAGCTTTTGCTGCCCGGGAGATTCTGGTAGCTGAAGTCCACACCTCTTAAACGCGGCGAAAACAAAAAATTCAACAAGCTCGAATTCTTCTCCTATGGAGAAGGGGGCAGTATTTCGCTCCGCAAAGGACTTCCTGTTGCCATAGCAATAGTCCTACTTCCGGACCTTTCCTTTAACTCTGACGCAAAATGCAATGGACCAGCGAGAGCGACAGGAAAGATGGGCGCCCTTAAATAGGAACTGCTAAACCAATCGGAAAGCAGGAGCCGGTGGGTTTCGCGGATTCGCCCGCTTTCCTTCTTGCCGTTGGGAATCGCCTCATGCGCGAGGTGAGTGGCTTGGCGCGAGGTCTCGGGGTGGGGTTGGCGGGATTGGAGCCGTTCGGGTGGAGAGGGGCGAGGGGCGACGTTGTTGTGCCGCCGCCTCGGGTGCGGAGTTGCGAAGCTCGACTGCCTCAGGGGGCCGAGGAGTTCAGCAGCCCCCTCGGAAACAGGGGCGGTCCACGGGAAAAGCGGAAGACGGGAGAATTCTGGGCAGGTCAACAAGGAAACGTCGCTTTCGCATTTTAAACACGGGACGCTCGCGGGAGCCTTCGAGCTGTGCGGCGTGTAGTTTCGTGAGGGGAGGCCGCGAAGCGGCCGGAAATCCTTTCTGACCAGGAGTATCTCCGTGGAAGTCTTGATCATAGATTTAAAAGGATTCTCATGCACTGCAGTTCCTTCAGCAAGATGTCTCTCTTTAGAGAATTCCCACGGACGGTGGCTCAAACCCTGCTTTAAATAACTTTTGCGAAGGAGAATTTGTTCCCTAGCTGAATGACTAGGACGTTCAGCCGAAATTAAATGTCCATTTTTTGTTTCTTGTCCGTTCCCCCCTCCCCCAGAACAACAGACGTTTATAGCAATAGCACTTAGACTTATATACTGCTTTATAGTGCTTTACAGCCCTCTCAAAGCGGTTTACAGAGTCAACATATTGCCCATAACAATTTGAATCCTCAAATTGTTATGCAGAACAATCTTTTAGATATACTCCAGATCTTGACTGTACCTAAAATAAGTTGCCTGAGTACTACTGTGAGAAACTGACTGGCCAGTCAGAAATTGTCAAGAGTTATGAAGTGAGGCAGTAAACAGTTTATTATAAAATAGGTCCTTGCAAGAGTGGATGGCTAGCAAGTAGGCACACACAGTCCAGCTTTTCATTCCCTCCACCCCAAGCACAAATCCTTCTCCTGCAGCTCCCTTTGACAAAGACTACAGAGTCACAATCTTCTCCGCCTGTTTCCCCTCTCCATGAACTTCCCCATGTTTAATCTATCACCCCATCTTTTGGTCATTTCCCTTTTTCTAGACTACCTTTTGTCCCTTTTTAGATTTATTTGTTAACCTACATTTCCTGTTTCCTTACAATCTGAGCAGCATAAGCATAATAAATTGAGGCAAGCAGTTAATTACTATATGTTAGACTGTGGTTAAAACTGTCAGCTAATCTGCTTACACAAACTGACTTGCTTGTCAGAATAGCAAACCCTTCCTGTTTTCCAATCTTGACCTTAATGTCCCAATGTCCTACCGAATTTTTAAACACACATCTCTCAAAAGTTGCTTTCTTTGCAAAAACAATCTATCAACTATCAAAAACAACTATCTCCATCCGTTTTTTACACTATGACATTCTCAGTACTCGAGTAGAATGTAAACCGACCTTTCTATTGATGCAGTTTAAAAACTGCATCCATGTTTTGTAGTTGTGTGGTTCTGGCAAGATAGGTTCTCCTTAATTGCCACTGAGACACGTATGGCATAACACAAATAAAAGACTATACAAATAAAATAAAACTTGTTACACTAAAATGTCTAATCTATATTGCACATGTAGTTCTCAAACTGAGTTTTGCCTGTCTTGCGCTACTGCTTTTACCAAAATATATTTGCACTTGTTTGGAATGTGGATTCCTGAAAAACGTTCTGCACTAGTGAACGGTACTTCACTGTAACTATCTTTCATGGCAATCCTTTATTTTTGGGAAAGTGTGTTTATATTCAGAAATTACTATCGTTACAAATGAGGCCCTGTTATTTGCACATTATCTCCCAGCTTCAATCACTACTGTTTGCTTGCTGGCCTTTTGGAAATTGCTTCATTATCACCTTAAAGGCTGTATTGTGTACCCATTATGAATTTACTGTAGCTATGAAAAACATTCAACAGCGGTGTTATGCAGCTCTCTTAAATTCTATAAATGAGCTTTATTTTCATAAACTTCTAGTATACAGATAGAGCCATGCAATAACAATATAAGAAATGGGATAACAATAGATTTTGGAAGGTTCTGTGTCTCAGTGAAATTTGGACTGAAAAATATATAACTTGAATTTACAGATCACGTTAAAGCAAGTTTAGCATCATGTATGATCTCAGTTATATATAAAATATGATTTACCCTTTAATATTTTATGTCAGCCAGGGTACTATAGTTCCTGACTATGCTTTAGCAGTATATTAATGTAGATATTTTCTTCTGAATCTATGCAATTGCTTAAAAATATGGAAATATGATCATACATGCCTTAAAAATACAATAGATGCATTGTAGTGCTTAACTCAAGTGGCTCCCACTGTGATTATTGCAGACCTATTTTACGGAATTGTTTTGAAGAAAAAAATCTCTCCAGTTCAAAATTTTCCAAACCTGTTCATAAATTGTCTTCTTCTGAATGCTATGAAGTTTTTGCTTGTTTTCAAGTATTTTTATTATGTGTGATGAAAATGAATGTAATATGCTGTTTAGAGTCAAAATTATAATAAGCAAAAATTTGAAATTGATTCCCTGAAAAATACTTAATACTAAGCATAATCTATTACTAAGCATTTATCTATTTACTTTAATTACTCTAGTTTTATGTTATCTTTCTGAAAGTGCAAAGAAAATAGGCTAGTAAAAACATTTGCCTACCAAATATATAGTTTGCAATTGTCCTCAATTAATGTAACAATTTTGCTTGGAGATAATGAAGTACAGTACATAAATGTTTATATATATTCATGTCTATTGTCTGTATGTCTGTCTAGCTATCTGTCATCTTCATTCTATTTTGTATCTTGCTTTTTAAAAAGAGGCATCCTGGTACTTTGATATAACTGCTGTAATAATTAATATAAATAAAAATATCTTTCCTGCTACCCAGTCCAGTTTCTTGCTTGATTCTAGAATTTGATAATTTAGTTTTCTTCTTAGTATTATTTTTTAAAAATCTGGCTTCTAAAATTTCCTACTCTATTGTTCAGAGATAATGAGAGACATTTTAAAATATCTAGTAACTTTTGCACATTTTGATGCACATCAACTCTTGCCAGAAAAGTTAATAAAGCAAAGTAATGGAAATAAATCCAGAATTGTTGGTGGATACCAAGTTGAGTTTATTGATAAACATATATTTGGAGAATACTAAACCTCTTAAGGTGGCATATTCAGGCTGTTTTTTTTTTTTTGCAAGCATAGATTTGTCAGTGTCTAAAAATAAAACACTATTTTTGTTTTGAGCTTTAAACATACAATATTAAATTAAGAATTATTTTGGTTGTTAATATTTATGTGTCATTTTTATTTCTGTGACAGAATTATGGATCCAAACTTGTTACGAGAACGAGAACTTTTCAAGAAACGAGCACTCTGTACACCTGCTGTAGAGAAACGTCCAACACCTTCTTCTGATTCCTCATCTTCTAAAAAGAAGAAAGCCAAAGTAGAACAGAGTGGTTCATCAAGTTCAAAACCAAATACAGGTTAGTGGGGGGAGAGAGAAATTTGAAATAAGTAATTGATGCATGTACCTCTTGGTTAATGGGTGCAGGTAATAACATGTTGACTTGCATAGATAGCTGCATAGAATAAGGTGACCATATTGGCCTAAAACTGAATTTTTGGATGTGGCATGCTGACCAAAATGCATGTGAAAACTGATAACCATTGCTCTTACTGTTAACAGGGAATGCTGTGCGTAGCATGATTGTGATTGTGGTTGGTCACATAGTCTATTCTTACTCTACTCATTTAACATACCTAAAATCATTATGTGAAAGTCTTAATTGGCCACGATAGGTGATGAAGATAAATATGTCATCAGTTGGCAAGTCTGACATTTTAAAGATTACAACTAGGAATATATGTAAATGTGAATATAAAGAGCTTGAGATAATGAATAAATTGTATTAAAATAAATTTGTATTGAAACTAAGAGAAAAATAAAGGATGTAATACTCTGAAGTTCTTATGGAGTGGAGCTGATGAATGCTTGCAGTGAAATGAAGATATAACTTTATGAAAGAAAGAGCTAAAATGTTGTATGCTATGCTCCAGTGTGTAATGCTAATGGAAGAACCAGTAATGACTATGGAAAAAAACATTGCACATGAATCCAGGAAAAAAATTACTCTGCAAGGTGACATGGACAGATGGGAGAAAAACAAGTAAGAGAAAAAGTGGACTATTCAGAGACCCAAGAATAGCAATAGCACTTGGACTTATATTCCACTCCACAGTGCTTTATAGCATTCTGAGTGGTTTACAGCACCAGCACATTATCTCCAATACTCGGTCAGTTTCTGCTTAAAAATACCGTACATGTTTGTTTTAATTATATAAATATTTAGCCGTATATGGCAAAATAAAGAGTATAAATCTACAAGCATGATTGGTTTGAATATTTATGATGAAAATTGAAAGGCTGAGTGAAGGGCATAAAACTGACCAGAGGTTCTGAATGTTGAATAGAGCATTTCTTAGTAAGAATTAAGGGTGGATCTTGGAAAAGAAATGTCCTGGAAGAAAGGGAAAGAAGTGAAAGTAACAAGAGTGAAAGTATAATAGAGCTATAAGAGAGCAAATATGATATACTATAAAAATAGAAGGAATGGAAGGGAGCAATAAAGAAAGTTCATGTGGAAGTTCTGTAGAGTAATCGGAACTGTGGTATTGAGTGCCAGAAAAGAATGTATAGTTATGGTAATAGGAAATAAGGAATGATGAAAAAAGCTATGGATAAAAAAAGTGCACATAAGAGCTATCACAGAAAAAATACATCCTAGAAATGGGTGAAGAGGTCTAAACATGGAGTTTCCAGCAGAGTGAATAAGATTTTAAGTGATGAAATGTTTTGTGATGAAACTGAATCGAATCAATACATACGTGATTTGCATTGCAATAACAGTGTTATTTTGAAGAGTGGAATTGAGCTGAATACAGCGCATATAACTTAAGACAAAAATAATGAAAATGAAGTAATAAACGCATAAAAAAGTTGAAAATGGTAAGGCTACATATCTGATAGCTCTAACTGAAGAAATGTTAAAATATGGATGTGACTTGCTCATGGAGTAGCTGCTAGATTTATTTAATACATTGGTGAATATCTGTGTCTAGTAGTTGGGGAATGCTGTTAATTGTTCCTCTAGATAAAAGAAAAAAATACCAATAATGCTACCGTGTTTCTCATATAATAAGGCTGGGTCTTTTTTTTTTTTTTTTGAGCCCCGAAAAAATGGCTAGGCTGTCTTTTCGGGGGTGACTTAATTCCCCCCCCGTTGCATCTTCAAGCGGGCAGCGACGGCTTGGATGTTGACCTCGGCATTGGTGGGGCACTTCGTATCGGGGTCAATGCAGGCAGCACCATATCTGGGTGTGCAACAAAAGTACTTCCTAATGGCAAGCCCCCCCCTCCTTTTCGCATGTTTTAATATAGGCCTTAATTTGGGGGGAGGGGCTTAATTTCATTTCATGCCTATAAAACATGCTGGGACTTCCTATTGGGGGAGGCCGTGTTGTTGGAGAAACAGTAAAATTATAGAATTCTGTTTGAAAAGGTACAGGAAGTGACAATTAACAAAATTTGGGAAGTGCACCTCAATTTTACATTGAACAATGGTTTCCAGAACAAACCTGTACTCTTCAGTAGGAAGAAAGTTTACTGTATATTTGCATATTTTGAAAAAGCGTGCAATAACATGAATAGATTTGAATTATGGAATATTTGCATGAAAGTAAAGTTGAAAAGTAGTTGCTGAATACCATGTAAACATTATATGACGAAAATAAAGGTTTGGAAGGTTAAGTGAGTAGTTGCATACTGAATAGAAAGATGGATATTATCCCATTGGTGTAAGAAATTGTTGAGGGTCTTTAGAAGTATATTAATTAGATATATAGACATTAATGTATGCTTGCAGCTGGATGATGCTGTGTTGTTAATTGAAACCCTGAATACTTACAACCAGCAATAAATCACATTATATAATGAGATAAGAGTTTATACATAAAGGGTGAAAAATTAAATCAAATTGATGAATTTGATTGATGAGAATGTATACTAAAGATGAGAAGAAATTGTAACAAGCGTAAATGTTCATAGAAAGATAATGGGTGATGTTCTCTGTTAAAAAATGACAAAGGATGAAAAAGGAGTAAAAGAAATAAACATGGCTGTTTAAAAGAGCATGTACCTTGTCACTTTGTTATATGGAATTTGAGATGAATAGAATATGCTAAACAAAACAAAAGAAATTAAATTTAGTGGACAGAAATTATTTAAGTGTATTTGTTCAAACATGAAGAAATATGGAAAGGTAGCGTTAAAAACAAACGAGTGCTGATTAATGTGGGTTGAATACAGCACTGAATAACCAGTAAGAAAGAAGCATATTGAAGTGGTTTGACAGAAATAAATAATAAATATATGAAGAAAGAGATGAATGTGTTGAAAGATAACAGAAAATTGTGCTCGGATGCAGTTGGTGAAATGCTCAAAAAGAGAGAAGTGTGAAGCTTAAAAACAAGGTAATTTATGAACCAATGTGTCTAATGTACAAACAAGGTTATTTAGCAAGGATTACCTATATTTTTAGATTGTGCATACTTATTTACTTAGTGGCCTTTCTTTCTAGCTATGCAGTGAGTGGAATAATCAAACAATTTGCATTTGATTATATTTTAGTGTTTTTTTAAGTTTATTTAACATTTAACCTAGCTTTCTATTTCTAAAATAATCTCTTCAGGCATGTGTCTTTTCTTTTCTGGGAATGTTCTGGATCTTGGGATTTCTGATGGAGTCTTTTGCAATTGATGTAGGAGCAGTGAGTCAAAAGTCCTACTGATTTTTGCAGTAGCACAAACAAATAACTGTTATGTAATAAAAACAATCTTTACAATCTTACTTCTTGTTGCATAAATGTGTTTGCTTTCTCCTTCCCTTTTTTAATTTTCATGCTGGCAATCTTATTATTCAAGGCTGATAAAATAAGCAACATAAGTGGTAGACGTGATAGAGAATAATGTAGCCAAGGAATTATAATCCTAAACTGGTTTGATAAGAATTATTTCTGATGACTGAGATTGAGAAAGAACTTCTGCCCCATTTTATGATCCCAACTTTTGATAGCCTTTTATAGCGTAGATTTTGGTATTGAGGACTCAGTGTATAGGTGCTGTTTTGATGGCAGTCCCATGTTTTAAAATTCACCCTAAACCAAAATAAGGGAACAAGGTTACTGTCATATTTGCTGTAGGTTTTTAATGAATTGGATTACATATTAAAATGAAAAGCTGGACTGGATAAAGAAGCATTAACATTTCCTTTGGCTCTGTTTCTTAGCTGACTTTTTCAGTACTTGTGTAAGGCTGACATGATCATTGTATAATTAACTATGGGGAATATAACTGGTAAGAAATTAGGAAGTGTCTAAGCACTGAGAAAAAGGGTTTGATGTACAACTAATAATAATCCATATCTTTTACTTATCTAATAGTTAATAGATTTGTAAAATATTATTTTGAACCCTTTGTGTTGGAATAGTCTCTTGTTTGAGGTAATGGAATATCAAACTATTTTGATATATTAAAGATATAATCAAATTGATCGCATGGCAAATTATACTTTTATATTCTGTGGTATCTTAATATGCTTTCATTTATTCTGACTGCATTTTAAATAAAGCAAAAAGCAATTCATTAGATGAACAAAAATGTATTTAATCAGTACTATTCAACAGCAGTTCATTATAAAACAAAACAACCCTCTGTTTTCACACCACACAGTGACATTATCCATTAGCAAGTATTTTGTAACCTTTTCAGGTTTCTACCCATCAGCAAAAAAGGGACTGCTAATAGCGATATTTAAGGCTAAACAGGATCTGAATTGCTTGGTCCTAAAATACAAGAGGCTTCAATATAATGTTGCACATCTGTTTGTTTCTGATGCTGAAGATCATTCCACCACTACACCACTTCCGTTTCATGCTTTCTGAAGCTGTTCATCATAGATCTAACAGGATTGGGTTCATTTTCTAAGTCTTTCATGGTTTTGTTTTTAACACAGCAGCAGCAGTCAAGCAGCTCATATAAAAAGGCTAGTACCACCAAACATATTACAGTAAATATAAATATGACCAGGATGATAAAACAGGCAGTGTTCCAGTTGTCATGGAAAGGGTAAATTTTCTGCACTTGAAAGCCAAGATACTGATAAAGGGATGTGGTTTCATTCCAGCGGCTAATGTTGAAAGTTGCCATGTTTGGAAACACCTCTGATTTCTCTCTCTGCAATAAATTAAAATATATAAATAGTTAGGGTTCTTTTTTCTTTTACTAACAAACTAAAACTGGAAAAGCTATTTTTATTTTTAGTTTACTACACATCATAAATGTTTCTTTATAAAACACAAGCAGACAATTTTCCCAGGGTCAATGGCCATAATGCCCTTCTGGGGAGATTTTCAGGTGATATCACCAG